AAAGTCGGATGTTTTTCTTCGCCGTTCGTATCCCTCGACGAGAAGCCGCCGCCGCCCTGCCCCCCCCCCCCCCCCCCTCGGCCGCCGGCCAATCCGTCTTCCTCTGCACCTGAGAGATGATTGACTGATCTGAAATGTCGAGAAAAAACGCCATGTAAAAATTATGGCGTTGCAAAATTTCTTCTCGCAGAATGAGAATTTTTTGGAAAAACCGCGCAATTTTTTCCCTCGGATTTTCCGCAAAATTTCAGTCATAATTTTACCTATTCCATCTGGAAATTTCGAGGAAAAATATTCATAACTTTCTTCATCAATAAGTTATCGAGGTAAATTTGGCAATATTTGGATGTACATACGGTGTTCCTCCTAAGCACGGCAATAGATCCAAACCCGTCCGGTTTGGCGTTGCAGCGCAGCGCCAAGAAGAGAAGACTTTGGTGTCCCGTCATAATAATGTGGTGTTTTGATACATGAACGGGTGAAAAACTACCTTTGGTGTGAGGATATCCTAGTGTGCTTTTGTAGGGACAGGTAGGGACCGGAGCCGTGGTTCAAAGCGTCGCAAAGATTACACAATCATTACTGTTTTTGTCATCTTTGATTCATTCATTCCGCGGTATTCTATGTAGAGTACCCACATCGTGTAGAGAATGGACGTGACATTTTGAGTGAGGCTTTAGATTCAAAAAGGATATTCAACCGCCTTGACAATATTTCATGAAAACCGAGGAAAGTAATGCGGATAATGAATTCTAATCGATTCAATTTTCTCCATTTAGGGCGTTGGTTTTCTTTTCAATGTTACTTTTCAGTTTTTCCTGGGTGAAATGTCAAGGCAATTCCGTTCTTTGTTGACCTAGTCTACGAGAACCGTTCGTTGGGCGTGATTTTTTTTCCAAATTTAATGTAGGTCACCCAGGTGGAAGGGTGCGGATTCGGATCCCAATACCGCGAATGGTTTTTTGAAAGTGTTACGTGATGTAATATTCTCCCGCGAAAATGTCGCTGTCACCAGGAGATTGGGGACACGAGATGATTGACGCGTTTCTTCTTTTTTTGATACATTCGTTTATTTCTGTCAAGGTTTAAAATCAACAGGATCGATAATTTTTTTAAATCTTTTAAAAGCGTTTTGGTGACGCCCACTCCACGGGGGCCCCTCTAACGTAAGGGCGTAACTTCGTTTCGAGATGACCCCTGACATACGTATAACTCAGTGCTTTTCAGGGCTCACTTCGGAAGTAGGAAACGCTCTTACGTCACGGCGTCACCGAGGCGATTTCCATGTGAGGCATGAAAGAACATTCGGAGATTACTCAGGAGGAAGAAAAATTAAGAATTATGCTCGGATATTCAACCGTTTTCATCGGAATGTCGTTTAAGTCCGTCAAACTTTACGGTCTTATAATCACGTATTTATCAGCATTTTAATGGCGGAGACATTTGGTCTCAAAATTATTCGATCGACCATTTCTGTTTTCTGCACGTGCTCATTCGCCTCCTCCGGGGCGAGGTGAAAGATAGGAACGCCCACTTTGGGACGAAAGCCAACAAGGAGAAACGAAAGAAAGCCGAGGCAGAGAAATCTTATCGATCCGCTGATATTCCCGACGAAATCTAGGCGTTGAGCATCTCCCCAAATCTCCGCGCGTCTCTGTTTTGAACCCTACTTCTCGACCCGTTATTGAGCCAAACAGCGACTAAGGCACTCCCACACGACAAATGGTTGCCGAAAAAGTTGCAGCAGAAACGTTGTCACGACACTACTTATGAAAGGAACGTCGCGGTAATCATCTGCCGATCGTATGGAGCGATCCTATTGGTTGAAATGGGTGGCTCTTATGGACTAAGGGAGAAAATGATAGACTAACTAGAGGGTCTCTTTTGCGTTTCCGTTAGGTAGTCTATAGCCTACCTTCTTTGTCCATTGTAACCATCAGCTTCCACCACTAGGATCCCTCCATCCTTCTAGTCCTCTTTGTCGTTACCTTTGTCTACCGATTTCAACACTCAGCCCGGTGAAAAATCGAAAAAACTGTTGTTTATAGAAATAAATTTGTGAGCAATTTTATTTTAAGCATGTTTTATTGTATCGTCCGATTGCATTACTGTGATCTGTAAAATATACTGTCTCCGCACGAATGACTTGATGCACCAGTGACACGAGAACGACGCTTTAACGCTAGTCGGACAAGTTGCCCGGCAGCTTGGTGATAGGATCCAGCATGGTTGCTAGACGGTGCTGGAAACTCAGGACTTTTCCCGGTAAAATGTGGGGATTTTATGAGACTACCTGGCATCCTGGGATGGAGTCGAGGGAAAAGCGGCGCGGCGGTGGAGCCGGCGGCGGGAGGAACGGGCGACGGCGGAACGGGAACGGGGCGGAATCGTGGGATGGCAGCGAACCAGACAAAAATCGTCGCAGGAGCAAGGCTTCTTACGGCCAATTAATCTGGGAAAATGGACAGTTGGCGGTAGGTCTCGCGTCCGGAGAATTTTGTCACGTCCCCGGGTTTCGCATAGTTGCAGTAGTCTTGACATTTTCATCTGAAAGACCGCAAACCTTGCTAAACTGCACGCCTGCTTCGATTATGGTCGTAAATAGGGCCGCCGATGCTGACCGCAAAGTCGCCATCGCTCGCCCCCCGCCTCCCGCCGCCCTACATCCTTGTATTAATTACAATACCACTAGTGCTTTAATTACTCGCGGGGATGACATAAATTAATCTAATCGATCTCCTCCAGATGAGACAATCAACCCAATACTCCTCCTTCCGAGCTTCCCGTTTTTTTCTCTACTCCGCAGCATGCCTCTGCCGTTCAGCTACCTTCCTGTGCCCTCATCCCTCACTCAATCACAAGCCCCTTCTTGTTCCTCTTTAATCGGGTTTTCCCTTCGTTTTTTCTCTTTGCGCATCTTGCTCTACACCTCCGCTTTCTTTCTCTCATCGTGTACGTGCTCTATGGACTTGGTAATTTTGCGGCTCTGGGCTCTTAGTCGTCTTCAGAAGTGAGCTGATTCTTTGGGGAATAATTGAATTGCTGTCATTAACTCCTCTTCAGGTGACGGGGGAAATTCTAAATGAGATTCACTATTTAATCAACATAATGATAGTTTGTATCCGTGAATTACATTTCACACAACACTGAAAATCTAAGGAGGAACTAACCTTAGGATTCCCACTTCCTCAGATTTCATTCGACCCTTTCCGAAAAATTCTTCTTCCTCCTCTTTCCCTCTTATTCTTCTTTTTATCTTCTTCCCCCTCCTCCTCCTCCTCTAGTTTTTCTTCCTTTTCTTCCTTTTTCTTTTTCTTTTCCTTCTCCTTCCTCTTCATCATCTTCCTCTATCTTTGGCAATTAGTTAAACTGAAGAGAATTTATGAGGGGGGCTACTAGCACAAGGGAAAGAGGTGATTAGATGAAGCCACATCAGAAAAAAGGGCACTGTTCAATACAAAATGCATGCACTGAGTCATAATGCGTTTTCCCTCAGCGTGGCAGATTACTGCAAGGGTCCTAGCTTGAGATACAAATATTCGTGCTCATTGGATGGCCGTGTTGCATACTCACGGCTATGAAGGCGCGCAGTCCTTACTCGCGCGCGCCGTGTAGACGCTTCACTGACCAATGGACAAATTGTTGATCGATGCACCTCAGATCGAAGTGTCTAAATAGAGTTTAGAACTGGGGGAAAAAAGATTAGACCCTTTTTGCGAGATGACTTTTGACTTTTCATAGGAGAATGAGTTTTTTTTTTTTTTTTTTGGTTCCAAAACCAAAATATATTTGATCGTACCTCACGAACACGGACGCGGTCTGAAAGTAGCGCGACGCGCTCCGTTTTCGGTTTATCGCTCTTCGCCAATCGCCGATCTGAATAGCGTTCTCGTTTTCGTTGTCCTCCGACACTTTAGAGTTTAGAGAAGTGGCTCATCGATTATAAAAAAACTTCGAAATGCGTATGATGCAATGAGTTCCAATATGAATAATCCCCATCCCATACTTTGTAGTACTCCCGCACACACTTCGAGCAATATAAACATGCACGCAAAAAAGTTTTCGGAAGAAAACGGAGACCACTCGAACGTGTCACACCGCGCGGCGCCGACATATCTATCCCATTTTTGTGTAAACTGGGAGTTTAATTCCTTGAATTTAGAGGAGGGAACGGGAATAATCAGTTCCTGGAGGCCGACACTCAGGGTTGTGGTCTACTTTCAAATTTGCTCTCATAGTAATGGAAAAACAATGTCGTGGGAGATAGTAAATTAAAATGTCGCGATTGGTTTCGCTGATTCATCAAAGTTTTAAAAAAATATCAAATTATTTATTAATTTCATTAATTTGCAAAGCATCATATCGATTTAATGGACTTCCCGTTTGGTAAAAAGCTCTAATTTGTGCGAGTCCCAAGTAACTACGTATGCGGGTCATTTGACGGAGATACCACTATTCGACCACGTGGGAGCTCGTTTTGCCTACATTGAATATTGAAGGCGAACCGAAATGACATCGAAGTAACCTCTCCCGGTTTAGCAAAAGATCGATTTTTTTCAGTGTGCTCCGAATCTTCCCAAAGATTATCGAGCAACTGACAAGATAATTATGTAACTTATTTTTTGTTCTTCCCAGTGCTCTTATATCCCGGAACCAGTTCAAAAATTCTGGAACTTTTGAGATTTTCCAAAAATTTTTACTGGAACTTTTGGAATCCCCGAAATTTTCCAGATCTTATATTTTTTGTTTTTCCCAGTGCTCTCATATCCCGGAACCAGTTCAAAAATTCTGGGACTTTTGGGATTTTTCTAATTTTTTTACCGGAACTTTTGGAATCCCCGAGATTTTCCAGATCTTATGCATTTTCCGGAACTCTTGAAAAATTCTTAAAGTAATTCCGGAACTTTTGACGGTCAAGGAGTAGAAACACTGGTTTTCCCTACGATTTTTGGATGGAACTGACATTAATGAAAGATATGGGGTGTGATTTTATGTTGCAGAATTCAATCGGTTCGTGGCGCTAGGAGTGTTCTTACTGAGTCTAGTTAGGATCCCCTCTTGTACGAGCACACCTATCATCCGACGAAACACGAACACGATGGAGAAGCAGAACAACGCGCTGGCGCAAAGGCCCCTGTGGGTGAACCCGTGCGGCTACGGCACCGACGAGACGGACACCGAGCCGGAGCCCTACGCCCAGACCGAGGAAACTCGCATGCTCCAGAGCATCATCCTCACCGCCAAAAACGCCCTCAGTCACGCCAAGCAGTTCAGAGACAATTACGTAAGTTCATTCCTTCTTCTTCGGTCTCTCCCACCCAGAGACAATATTTAAGGGGCCTGGAGGACAAGGCGCATAAGTGCAGTTTTTGAAAAAATTGAGATATTAATGATCTCTACTAAAACAAGTCTTTTTGCATAATTTGTTTAAAAAAATTGCTCCCAAATTCCAATTTTCAAGCATCAAAAAGTCGATTTGAACTTCCTTTCCGCCACGAGGATACGTGTATTTTCGAAACTTTAAACAAGTATTTCTTAAAAGCAAAAACTGCACTTATGCGCCTTGTCCTCCAAGCATATCCAGAGATGTAAATTGAGATTTCATCATTTGGACGTATTTCTATCAAACGGATCTAAGCGCCTTAGGGTGAGGAAGGTAGAGGGGGGCTTGGATTGGCGGCGGAATCGGGCGTCCGGCTTATTTCGTTCTATACTCGCAATGCTTTTCCATGGCGCTTAGGTCCGTTTGACAGAATGCGCTATCTGGGATTCTAAAGTCCTCAAAAGGAACTCAAATTGGCGCTTAGTTCCGTTTGATAGAAATACGTCCAATTTTCATGTTGCTGAAAGGTAATTTTCATTTTCCATAGAATTTCAACAAATTTTTGGGGGCTGCACATCGAGGGCTAAGGAACAATACCGCAAAGCTGTCAATTTTCCGCAAATGTGTCAGTGACTGCGTCGCACTCTACAATGCATTTAAAACACGCAAGCTTATATTTTTAGTTTTTTTTTCAAATTCTACAGGGGAGCGCTATAATGACGCTGTGATGAATGAAAAAATTGCCAATCGAATCGAAAAATCACAGAAATGGCGAAGTATTTTGCTCGTCCTGCAAAATGGTCAGTTCGTAGAAAGGCCGCATTGTTCCTTAGCCATCGATATGTAACCCTGAACTTGTCATCTAACAGGCGCCAACTAAATATAGCTCTTTCATTATGCATGACACAAAACTTAACGTAGCCGGTGGTCGCATTGAAACTTTCCAAATTCGACTTATAATCAAGAAAATAGCGTTTCTTGCCTTCGTCAGTGGAAATTATCCGCTCACACCAAAAATATCCTCCCATGCAATATGCGTCATAAAGGCTGAACTTCTGTCATTTTGTAATGAAGATCCTTTTTCTTGGAACTCCTCGTCGAAAAAAAGAGAATGGACGCGCAGTCGGCATTGTTCTGTGCGAGTACCTCTTCTGGTCTCGCCGTTGTACCGCACTGTGGCCAATCCTCAACTAAATTGAACCGACAAGTCGTCAATGTTTATTTGAGTGTGTACCTATACTTGAAAACGCAGACCGTTTAATTTCTAACACTAAACTGAACACCCACGATTATGCGAATCGAAAATAACTTTAGCAATAAAGGAAAGATAGCGCCGTGCTAAGGAAGAACGCCGTATGAACATTCGAGAGTTGCCGAAATTCCCCGAATGAAACATGTATTTGCGAGGAAAGTTCTGCATAGTTTCCCTTGAAATTTTCAGATATTTTAGATTAAATTGCAAACAAAATTGTCTGAAAAGACAAAAAAATATTCACAATTTTTTCGGTAAATTTGACTTTTATCGAAGGAAATATAGCAAAATCTGAAGGCCCTTGCGACGTCTTTCCTCAGCGCGGCAGTATGCGGGATCTTTTAAATGTATCTCCTTTGGTTCTTTGGACGGCTTGTAGTCGTTACGTTTAGCGACCAAAAAACGTTTTTTTTTTATCTTATTGACTGTTTTCGGCTATTCGGAGTCGTCGTGATAAATTTTACAACGGGTGTGCGTCGCGTCGCGCCGCCGCACAGTGGATAGAGTCCATTAGAGAGGTCGGACATGACATTTTTGACTAAAACTGCAAATTTTGATGTTTATTTCGTCATATTGTAAGTATCAAGGGGTGCTTTCAGAAGGAAATTTTACGGGAAAACCAATGAAACCACTTTCACAACCTCAAACTTTTGTATACACGGAGTTATAAGCGTTTAAAGTTTCCAAATTTTGTCCGACCTTTCCTATCGACTAGTTCCACTGTGCGCCGTCGTTGGATGACGTTTGAACAAAGGCGAAGAAGCGGTTCATGCCCTGGCGATGCACATCAGGAGTACAGATGTTCTCCCCCGTAAATTGTTTTGGGAAATAGAAATGCGATTCCCGGCGAATCGGTGCGATGCATGCACGGAGGAAAACCGCTGACTCTCACCCGGGCACTGCACTTTCCGCCGTTCCCCTCTTTTTCCGCACCTACCCCTCTTCGAGCACCCGCGTAGCTGAATAACTCATACTCTGATTCTCTCACATTTCACAAGACGTCGCTCTTCCGACGTAAGGGCGTATCTCATTTTCCATGTGAGCCCTGTTCCACATATAAATCCATACTTTCCGGGACTCATCTGGAAAAGCAGATACGCCCTTACGTCAGAGGATCGACGAAGAGCTTGCAACGCCCATCTCCAGAGCGCCGACGCGAAGAAACTTATCCGACGTTAGTTTCGACCGCAAAAAAAGAGGAAAAAAATCCCAATGTCTCTTACGTCTTTCCAACTAAAATAAGTACAAACTGATTGCCATAGGCGCACGAGTCGTAAAACAGTAAGTTGGAATTTTAGCAAACGTGTGTTAAAAATCCAGAAAATCGGAAATCTCAACACATAGGGAAAAAGCTCACATGAACACAATTTTTTCTCAAAGAGATACGCTGTTTGGCGCAACACTAGTTGCGACCATTCAGACTGAGACTCATTGAGATTTCCAGTTTTATGGATTTTTAACGCACATTTGCTAAAAATTCCATCTTACTGTAAAGTAATTTCGTATAAAGATATATTTGTTTTTGAAGGGAGAAAAACGACCGATGTTTTTGATCGAAATTGGTCCAGCAATATCGCGAGAGAATTCTTTTCGACTGCTGTAACGTAATTGAGGCATTATTCGGTAAAAGGGTGTATATGAAAATTCCAATTCTGCTAAGATCGTGCAACGTACTTTTTTGGTTGTGACTAACGTACAAACAAAATGGTAACAAAATGTCATGTGCTTATATGTACAATTTTGACCCCTCATTTTGACCCCTCATTTTTACCCCTCATTTTTACGCTGTCATCTCGGATTTTGATTTGTGAGTGTATACTTGAAAAAAAATATCCTAAGGAGCTTAACTGGACCCTAGGTAACTTCGTGGTTGTTGACGTTTTCGGACATTGGTCTTAGACTGCGCTTGGGAGGCACATTGCACTGTGCTGCACGTGTCGGTACTAACATGCTATGGACTTCCTAAAAGGTTAGGTACACACTGCACCCCACCTAATTTCCGGTCTACATAAACGGAAATCCCAACTGCGTTCCCGATCACTGCTTTTCCTCCGCCAGTCTCAAAGATAAAAACCTATTTACCCGTCTGTCCGCATCGTCTTCCGTCATGGATCCAGTTAACCTCCCCCTCCCCCCCCCCCCCTCCGACGGTCATAATATATTACCCGTTCTCCAATCGATTTCGAGATTTTAAACCGCATATTTCCACTGCCGGAAAAAAAAATCGTTTCGTCTTAAAACTTACCATACTTTTGTTATTGTTGTTGTTAAAAAGAACATGCTAAGTAGTACTCCCATTTCCCGATACTAATTCCAAATTCCGGAATTTTTTAGATTTTTCAATATTTGCCCGGAACTTTTGGAATTCCCAAAATGGTCCGGATCTTTGGACTTTTCCGGAACTTTCTTGGAACTTTGAAAAAATCTAAAAATAGTCCTGGAACTTTTGACAGTCATGCAGTGGTAGCACTGATGCAAAGTAACTTGGGTTGAAATGTCACACACGGCGTGTCTATATTAGGAATGGTTTTTTTCTCACCTCTCTATTGTAAGGTCACATCATTTCGATCGGTCAGCGAATTATCGATCGATTCGATGGATCGGGTTCCTGGAAATCAATTTTCTTTATTTCACACGGGGCATTCGATTATGATTGAACAATCGATGTAACTCCCGGAACTGGAGAGTGCTGATGATCGCGACGTCGAGGTTGCCTTCGACGCGCGGAACTTGCAACTCGCCGCGACTAAGTACGGCGGGAAATTTCGGTGATTCATGTAGAGGAGCAATGGGCATTGAATGAGAAGCAATCTCGGTGCGCGAGGCGCGCGAGGCTCCTAGAGCTTGACAGAAGTCTGCGTTTCAAGTGTGACAGAATTATTACCATTTCAGTTGCACGTTGCCGCGTCCAAGTGTCCAACGCGACGACCGTGCTCAAAAGTGGCCCACAGGAGGGGCACAGGATAATTTGGGCATGCTGCCACTGAATGGGTCACATTTTGATGCAGAGACTACCCAACTGGTCCTCGTCTGCCGGATCAGTAGACGACCGAGGAGAAGAAGAGAAAGGAAAATAAAAAATCTTCTTCCTTCCTTTTTTTCATCTTCTCCTCCTCTTCTCTTTTTCTTTCTCTGAATACTTTCCTGTCTCCCTCCTCGTATTTTTCTTCTTCTTTTTCTCCCTTATTCTTCCATTTTTTGTATTTCTTCATCTTCTCCTATAACTTTTCCGTCTATCTTCATTATTCTTTCTCTTCTTTGCCTCCTCTTCTTCTCCTCTTTTTTCTTCTTCCTCCATCTTTTCATTCTATCCGCTTTCTCTCTCTCATGATTCTCCCTCTCCTTCCTTGCGTACGTCTCTTTCTTTAGTACGACTTCCAAGGCCAGAGTTTCTTTTTCAGTGCAGTCTCTCGGTGGCGTGACGTGAATTGCGATATATCGATTTTTATACCATTCGAACCTATGGTAAAGAATCGATTATTGAGGTGTTTGCTGCAAACACCCTGTTTATCGATACTTTACCATAGGTTTAAATGGTATAAAAATCGATATATCGCAATTCACGCCACACCACTGCAGTCTCTGGATTTTTTTTTTTTTTTTTTTGAAAATTCGAGCAGTTCTGCGTCACGCACGGCAGTTGCGCCGCGGAACGATAAGCAGATAATTTTCCGAGCGATTAAAAGTTGGAAGCTAGCAACGGCGGTGG